AATATACGATAATTTTGACTTCATCTCATCTCTATATATATATATATATTATATATATATGCCCCAAAACCCTACAGTACTGTGCATGGTAGAGCCCGAAAACCTGCCCCAGTTCGGTCACTCCGAAGTCACCACCAGTAACTCAAAGATCAGCTTTGCTGAAAAGGCGCTGACGTGGGATTGGAGTTCCGGGATTCGGGGCTTGAGGCTCAGGGTCAAACGTCGTTCTGTTGCAGGTTTAAGGCTCAGGGTTCTACTTCAATTTCTTATTCGCTCCGTTGTTCCACTTTTCTAACATGTAGAATTCCAAGACCAAAAGGGCTTCACGGCTCCAGGGCTTAGGACAAGGCCTCAGGTTATTGTTGAGTCTGAGCGAAGGCCCGGAACTCGAAGCATCGAACCCCCAGGATCCGAAAGCCTTGCAAGGCAGAAGCTCACAGGAGGAAGACTGGACCCTAACCGTCTCATAGGTTTAGGGTTTAGGGTCTAGGCTTGCCTCTCATGTACGTCCACATTCGGGGAGGAGTTCCGCCGCGTCTAGGGCTTGAATGGTTCTTAATGTGCTGTTTGGAATGGTCCTCATGCCGCAAGAAATGGGCGGCTGCCGAGGGCTGCACCGCAACATAGTGTGCCGCATGCAGAGCGGCTGCCTGGATATAAAGAGCCCAAGGGAAATCCTCTGTGAGTTCATGTGCAGGTTTGACATGTAAGGTTTATGGACCCTCTCCACCATCAAACCTAAAAGTTAACTTTGGAAAATCGAAAGGTCCCCAATGTCGGCAGGAACGGCGGTTTGTCATTTCAGAACAATCTCCCACACCTCCAAAGAAGGCGACAGCATGGCGGCCTGCTGCGCCAAAGGGGCGGCAGTCATGGCACCAGCGAGGGCGCGGCGTAGCCACCACCAACTCTCGTGCAAAGGCCGCCTTCTTGAGTTGGCTTTCGACCATAGTATTGCTTCTACTTCCACTTCTTCTTCTTCTTTACTACTGAGTTACTACTACTTCTTTACTAGTACCAATACTAGTACTAGTGCTAGTCATAGAAAAATAAATAGTAAAAGTATTAGCAGCCGCAGTAGTAGTAGTAGTAGTAGTAGTAGTAGTAGTAGTAGTAGTAGTAGTAGTTAGCTGTAGTAGTAGTAGTAGTAGTAGTAGTAGTAATAGTAGTAGTAGTAGTAGTAGTAGTAGTCGTAGCCGTAGCCGTAGCCGTAGCCGTAGCCGTAGCCGTAGCCGTAGCCGTAGCCGTAGACGTGGCCGTGGCCGTGGCCGTGGCCGTAGCAGTGGCAGTGGCAGTGGCAGTGGCAGTGGCAGTGGCAGTGGCAGTGGCAGCGGCAGTGGCAGTGGCAGTGGAAGTGGCAGTGGCAGTGGCAGTG